CCGGCTCTCTCATCCCTAGAGCCGGCTCCCCCCTTTGGTGAGCCGTCTCTTCTCCGTTGAGAGTCGTAACGCCTTTCCGGTTGTCTTCTTCGCCTCTGGTGACATGCAAGATCCTCTGTATAGTTTTTATTTAACTACCTAGGGTTCCATTGATTCCCAGAATTAATGATAAACATGCCTCCAATCCCAAATACATAAAGGTTATGCAAGATTAAAACCAACGCAAACAGATTTTCAAGCACGAATAACTTTCAATCACAAAACAGTTTTGAATACAATGATTTAAACTTAATTTAGACATGCTTGTATGAATAAAATAAATTCAATTTTAAGTCTTGGAGACCACCTAAGCATGCACAGAGCACAGGCTTAAGGGAAATAGTAGAATAGAGACTTATCTTTGAGACTTTGGATTAAAATCTCTAAATGCCGTCTCTATCAACTCCGACAACGTCGGCTGTGTTAAATGACCTTTGCTGATCCTAGTTCAATCCAGTAGCACACACCTGTGATACCCCTCGGATTTGAGACACGGGTTGATCAGGCCCAGGCCCAAACCCGAGGGAATATCAAACAATTAATATTTTAAAATGAACACAAAATACAAGATGAATTTAAGAATAGTTTAAGCTGAAAGAAATCTAAAATCTAAAATCCTTTAAAATTAAATACTTAAAATCCCATAATAATATGAATTATTTAAATAACAAAGGTAGTAAAACCAGTCATAATGAATAAATTATTAAACAATAAAGGCGGTAAGACCGACCATAATTAGTAGATCATTAAATAGTAGAGGTGATAGAACCGACCATAGTGTGAGCACATATATCATTTAAGTGAACAAATTTATTTTATGAACAATAATCCATAATTAAAATTTTCTTACCTTTTGTAGTCAGAAATACTATTTTCTTCGATAAAACAAACCAACCTAATAATCTATCAAAACTAATATTACAAAATAGATATATAGTTGAGATAGAAAGAGGGAGAGAAAGCTTATTCTTCAAATCTCAGATCGATAGAACTCGTGCTGATAACGTGTAATAAATATATGTAGATATATATCTATAAAGTAATATTTATTAGAGAAATGAAAAACACTTTCACAAACAGTATTTTAACATATAGCTAGAGATGCTCAATATCATAGACATTTTTGTTGCTCCTTTAATTTAAATTTGGAACATTATTGGTTGCTATAATTAAAAATAATAACTAAAATAAAATAAGTAATAGTTCTAATTGTCACTTCCTATGGAAAAATGCAACCAAAATAGGTGAAATATTATGATGCTAACATTTTTATATTCACAAAAATTTTGAAATTCTTATTTGTTTTATTTTCCCACAACTTTCAAAATTTTAAATTGATAATTGTGAAAAAAGCGAGATTATGCAAAAAAATAATATGAAAAATGATCTCTTTATTGTCCTTGTTCTTCCAATATTACGCGCTTAATTTTTTCATTTTAAATGATGTACTTCAAGTTATCGCGTCTCTGAACAGAGACAAGTGTGATTGTGTTTTTTCTTCAAGAATTAGGCTGCGTTTGTTTGCCTATGTGGAATTTTGAAGAGGTCAACTCCTCCAAAGTATGCCAGTTGACCATGGCTCCTCATAAACACACTCACTCGGTCAAAATTTTTCGATTGTTAATACCACAACATTGTTCATTTTTAAGAAAATATTTATTTCTATGATATAATTCCCAACCAATCAGATTATTATTAATCACCAACGAACGTATAAGTAAATGTTTCAATTTTGTGTGAATTTCTACTTGCATGTTTACTAATAATTAGTTGAGAACAATGGTCTCCATACCATACAATAATTTAGGGCAAAAAAATCCCCAAATTTGGTTGAAAAAAAATTTATATAAAAAACAAAGTTAAATGACTTTATTAAACATTGAGAGTGCAAATTTGGATGGATTGAAGATCAACGCTGATTCAATCTAAAGTATAAAACCTTCAAGTAAGTTCAACTCAATTCAATCTTTTAATGCAAGCTACACAACTAAACTAGATTACACAAATGTTCAAATTTTTGATCTCGAGTTTGTTTCAGATTAAATTATTTTTACACATAACGTTTAAAACAAAAAACTAAATGCAAATATATATATAAAAAAATTAACAAAATTTCACCTCCAAAGGATTAATATACAATAATTTGAGATTTAAAAAAAAAAAAATACCTCACATACTTATTTTGTCCCTGACAATATATTTAAAATTATAAAAGATATGAAAGTGGTATTAAAATTCGGATTTGTGTTGTTAACCTTCAATCCAAGGGTCCAAATCAATTTGATTTAACTTCGAATGAGAATTTTTAACCCACGCACAAACCTAATTGTGAACACAATTGTCCAACTCCTCCAGAAAGATTAAAAAACTTTGTCCATTTGTAATGAAGTCCGAGTACATGACCAGACAAGCCCAGTTACCAGTCGGTTTAAATTCTCAGTGTGATGTCGCCTTTGTGATTAATGTAAGAAAAAAATGGCTTTGATTTGCGTGTCACGGTTGCAGATTAGGGAAGTGTACGGGATGGTATTGGTATGTCTCATGTGACAACTTAAAATTTCACCCGTGAAGGAGGGGACAAAAAAAATAATAATAAAAATAAACAAAAAGACAAAAAAAAAAGAAAAAGAATAATTTAAAAAAGAAAAAAAAATTATTATTACACAGATTTGTTGCAATGAATTGTCAAACTTATTATTTTTAATTAGTCATTTATACAACAAATAAAGAAGTGAGGTTCTACACTTACTTATATTTAGTTTAAATAACCAATCAAAATCATTCGGTTATGGTATTCAGTGTGAGTATCACTTCTCAAAAAAAAAAAAATTCTTAACTTTCGTTAAGTATTATATGTAATATTTTTTTCATAATTAGGGAGTTATGTACAAAAACAAAAGTTAAGGAGACAAAGAGCACTTATCCTTCTACTCATTAAATTTTTTTATATATATAATCAGGGATGGACTCAAAAAACTGTGAGGAAAGACAAAAGTGAGATATTTTTTTTGTAATTTCTGGAGGCATTGACTATACATTAAATCCAACCCGGTATATAATGCATTTTTATGTTTGAAAAATATTACATATTGCCCTTCCTATTTTATTTATTTAATTTTTTAAAAGAAATTATCTAATTCTTTCTTTCTTTTCCTTCTTACTCTTCTTCTTATTCTACTCTATTTATTTTTATTTTTTAATTTTATTCTCTTAAAATAAATTTACACTTTCTTTCTTCAATCAAAATTCTAATTTTCTCCTCCCCGTCCACCAGACTAAAAGATGGAGGGTCTCTCCACCATTGCTGCAGGTTTCGCTAACCGGAATTAGTTTTCAGTACTTGAAGATCTTTTTGCTCTTGGGCTGGGCCTTTGCTCTGGGTTGCTCGTGTTAAGGGCTGGGTTGCCTCTGGGCTTGTATGTCCTGTGAAAGGCTGTTTTCGGCCGAAGGCCTTCTTTGTATTTTTTCCTGTATATATACAATTTGCTTTAATTTTTTTTATAAAAAAAAAAAAAAAAAATTCTAATTTTTTTGAACATGTAATTTTGACCACATACGTTTAAAGATAGACTTATGAGATTAATCTTATGTATAATATTCTAACAAACTTCAATTTAAAGAAACAAATTGTATAACATTGCCTGAATTGATTTATGCGGCCATAATCGAACAAACATGCCTAGTATTGATTGTGAGTGACTAATGTATATTTAAAAAAACAACGTACTTAAATTTTAGTTTTATGTGAAAATTGTATTATTATATTTTAGTTTCATTGTCAGTTGTTTCTCATACTTACGAAAAAGTGATGAGTTTTATTCGTCGATAGATTAAGATGCTGGTCTTTAATTTATGATTCTTCCCCACACACTAGTAAAAGAAGTGAGCTAATCTAAATCTAATAATATAATGTAAACCACATTACCTAATACATATTTGGACAAAGCACCTATACATTGTGATAGTTTTTGTACATAAAATCATTTTCTTTAACTCTCATTCCATCACACTAATCAAACAATATTTTTTAACACATACACACATATATATATATATTTTTTAAAAAATTCATGCTAACCAAACGCAAAATTAATAAAAATTTAATTTAATTTTCATTCACTTCACTTTCTTTTTCTTTTACTTTCTATCATCGATTTCTTGTTTGCCAAAAGGATATTATAGAAAATTTTCAACTTAAAATTACATCTACCATGCACATAATATTATTTGGGCGCTTGCCCATTTATTCAAAAGTTTAAGTTGTTAGGTAATGCTACATATTCACCCATTTATATTCAATCACTTTTCTATTCAGATTCGATGTGAGACAAATGATCTTTTGTAACATATTTTATCTTAATGTTCCACAAAAAATATGATGTAGTTTATAACATATTTATGAAATCTTAAGAGGAGGAGGGTAATCTACAAAATCTTCGAAGTTGAGAATTTTTTTTTTCTCCCTACTATTTATGTGTCAACTTGAGTATGAAAAAAACAACCTTCTATAAAAACAAGTTAAAAAGATTTTTAGTTTTCTCTCTCTATATTATCCCATATACTATATGTGTGAGTTGTGTGACAATAACATTACAAAAATTTGATAACAAAAGTACTTACAAGGTTTAACCATATTAAGATATTCAAATATGACTCATGAATTTTTAAGAAAATCAAATAATTAAAAGGAAAATAATTGGAGATTGTGCAAGTTGACTGTTGACAGGAACAGTAAAAGAAAAGAAAAAAACAGTAAAATGATCATGTACTACTAGTAGTACTAACTACTACGTTTTCCTCTGGCAAGTGACTTCACACCACACTTACTAATGCTTCATCTTGAAGGCAACAAAGCAAAAGCACTACCAAACCCCCCACAAATTCCTCCCCCCTCTCCTTTCTCTCCTTCCTCCCCTCCCTGACCAATCACCTGCCTCACTTTTTTTATGGGCAAGAAGAAATTTCATTTGATCACATCACTAAGTACAATCATATGCCTCACTTACCAACACAAGACTTTAACCAACAAAAACAAAAACAAAAACAAAAGAAAAAAAGTAAAAGATAATCAGCCCACATCCAAACTGAACATTATATTATTATTATATATTTTTTGACACATTATATTATTATATAGAAGCACACACATGATACAATCTCTATGGCTTCTGACTAGTGTCCTTGATTCACGCTTATTTTCCTTTCCATTCCTAATCCTTTTTCGCCTGTAAAGCACAACCCACTAATCCCAAAAGACAAGACTCTCAGAGTCTTGAGTGACAAGACAAATTGGGCTTAGAAAAAGCTTTTCCCTTCCAATTAATACCTAAATTTACAGATCTGTAGTCTTAAATCCTCAATTTTTTTTATTTTTTTGGGGGAAAAAAAAAAAACTAGCTTCAAGAAACGAGGTTTTGGGTTTTTCCTCTAAAAATTTTGGGTTTTTCCTCTAAAAATATTTGATCCTATTGGTCAGAAAGTAAAATAATTTTACGATTTCCATAAGTTGATTTTTTTTTTTTTTTTTAAATATTTGATTTTGAAGAAGATACTAGAGGGAAGAAGTGGGTTTGTGCCGAAAAAAAAAAAGGGTTCTTTTTTCTTGTTCATGGTTAAAATTTCCGGTTCTCTGGTTTTGAACCTCTCTTATTTGAAGGAAAAACCTGGTTTTGTGAAGTGGGTTTCAATATTCCCCATTTAGACTGATACCCTTTCAAAAAAAGGTTTCGATTTTCCACAAAAGGTTGGTTAGTAGTTATTTATCGCATGGAAAGAAGAATTGGGTTTCTGCTCAAAAGTGTTTTCCTTTCAAGTTATGTGGATCTATGTCACTAAATCTGCATTTGTCTGAAGAAGAATCTGATTTTGTGAAGTGGGTTTTCATTCTTTCCCATGAAAATTAGCACCAATTCACTGTAGGGTTAGGGATTGATTACAGTTGCAGAAAGGTGGGATCTTGAAGATGATTCAGCTATTGTTCTTGGTTCTGTTTGCTGAAGGTGTGGTGGCATTCCTTCTACTGGTGAAGATTGGGCCACTGAGGGAGCTGGTGATGAAGGGTTTGGATCAGGTGAAGATGGGGAAGGGTCCAGCTACTGTTAAAACCATCGGTGGTACAATGGCAGTGATCCTCTTCTCAAACTTCATCAGCATTGTCAAGATTCAGAACAAGGGTGCCAAGCTTGGTACCATGACTCCCATGGATCAGGTTCTATGGAGGACACACTTGCTGGAGGCTTCTCTCATGGGTATGATTTTATTCTTTTGGGGTGTTCTTACTAAAATTGTTTGTTTTGTGTTTTTTTTTCCCCTTTCCATATTGATCTGTAAATTTGAAACTTGCATTTTGAATTTGTTGTTTGTGTTATATCGTTGCAGATGAAAAAATGTACTTTTTCCATTAATGGTTTAATATGTGAAGTAGAAAAGAAAAATTGAACTTTATTAGGATTCGGATCGTGCGTTCAGTTGATAGTCTAATAACTGTAATAGAGAGATTAAAATGGAATTTCTGAACTTATTCGTAATGGTGCTTATTTCAACGAAGGTTATCAGCTTTAGGATTAGTAATTTTTCCCTTGATGATAGTCTATATTTTTGTAAGTTGGAATGCTTAATATCTGCTGAAAATTATTATCCTTTTGTAGTTAGCAGATGTTACAATGACATTTCTTAATTCGTGTTATGTGGAGATATCCCACGGTATTATGATGGAACTTGGTAAAGTGTATGGAGCAATGAGGGATAGAGTTGGGTTGGTATTTGGTAATAAAGGGAAATTGAGGATCTCGAAACCCACTAATTTGTTGATTTTCTGTGTGAATGATTGCGGATAGTCCTATGGCCAATATTGCAGAAAGTAAAGTTACAGTGGACTTGTTAAATTCAGCTAAATGGCCAATTCTATGTCCATTAAAGAATTAACTCTCTATATAATTATCCGTTCAATTTGTTCATATAACTCTTATGGATAATTCATTTAATTTGTTCATATGAAGAATAATGAATAAATTCTTGTAATGTGCAAAAAAATTATTTTTCAACCATAACACCATATCGCTTTAGAAGCATTGGAGAGGCTTACAAGCAATATGAGATGCTATGATGCAGAGGTTTTAAAGCAGGCTGGTTGTGTTTGTCCAAGGCTCCAAAAGTAAGGGTCACTCTGACCAAACTACACTGTTATGACTCCTAACTTTTTAATGTACTTTTTGTCTTTTTTCCAATTCCAAAATTAGTGGAAACTACAAAGGGACTTCTGTTGGGAGAATTGGGAGGAATCTAAGTATCACATGGTTAATTGAAAGATCGTTTGCTCTCATGTTTAGGAAAGCGGGTAGGGAGGGAGCTTGAGGGTGTTAAACCAGGCTCTTTTTGGGATATAATGGTATAATTGTGAAGGTTTACTACGGAAAGGGCACTGTATGGGGGATACTTGTGTACTTGTGTTCACCAATTATGGATGCTTTAAGGGGGATTGAGCATCTTTGATGTGACTAATTCTTATGGGGTGCTTTTGGAAAGGTACCTGGAAAGTAGTGTGATTTCTTCAAGTGTATTCCTTTTGTGGTGGGGGATGGGGATGGGGATGGGGAATGGGGAATGGGGAAGATTATGGTGTATGATGGGCTGGGGAGACACAGCTTAAAGATATTTTTCTTAGATTATATGGGATTGCTATTGTTAGAAGATTGTTGTTGGCGATTGTCTTCTGGATTTTAGGAGGAACGTGTATTGGGATGGCACTTCTCAAAGGCTTCTCGATGAGTAGGAAATTGAAGTGACAGTGAGGCCGTTTGAGGTGCTGCGTAGCATCGTAGACGAAAATTGAGAATCGAAAAAGCGTGGAGAACAAAGCATCTCTGTATGTGTTCTATCTTTGTGTGGAAGACATTGGACAAAAAGATCCTTACGCTTGATAACTTAGTGAAGAGGGGAAAAATTAATCCCAAACTGATATAATTGATATTGCATTTAGGAAGTGGAGAGGAGGTAAGGTTGAAAAAGGCAGAAAGATGAGGCTAATGGCTCTGCTCTATTTGATGTGGGGTATTTGGAAAGAGAGGAAACATGAGATCATTTGATGGTATGAAGGAGTCCATTTGTAAGTTGAATAGTAGTTCTTTGTGTCTTTTTTTTGTTGGATGACTGGACTGATCAATCCATCTTTTGAGTCCTTTTTTGATTCTGTAGAGAATAAAGACACGATTAGTTGATTTATTTTGTATTGTTGTATAGGCTCTTCTCGTGTATATCTTGCATGAATGGATTGTCCTTCCTTTTGTGTGTGAATGAAATTCTCTTACATACTAAAGAAATGTTAAGGTCCTATTATAGTTATATTGATGGATATTATTGTTAGTTCATGCTGTTGTTGTTAAATCAAAGTTTTGCCTGAAAATCGTTAAGAGTCAAAGTTTGGAAAGAGGAAAACAAGAAGGAAAGAGAAAAGTTATTTATTTATTTTTTGATAAGTACGAAAAGTTCTTTTGTCTTTCTATATTCCCCCTTCCCCTCCACCCCCCCAACTCCCCCATATATGTGGGGATAAAGTTAAGGTGATTTTAGGTTTCTGCTACTATTGTGAAAGCTTAACCCCTTTCCAACACGGATCTTTGTGATCATTATTTCAATATACATAGTTATACACAATAAATGTGGTAACAATGTATATTTATTATTACTGTATGCTATTTCAGGATTTCCTCTTTGTAAATATCGTGACAATGCTGAGTAAATAGTGGAGTAAAGATTCCACTTGGTGAAATCTCAACTTCATTTGTCTTTTTGACTAACTAATCGTACTTGTAAGAGTCACTAAGTTGCCATTTCATTTGGCAGTTTATATGCAAAACAATTGCACTATTTGTTTAGATGAGGTGTGCCACCACCAAAATGTAGCTCAGCTAGGTCATGACTCATAGAATCAAACGTAGTAAAGTCTCATTTAACTATTGCACTTTCCAACACTCACTTGGCAATTTTGTTCTTACACTGATAATCTTATACACCTTTAAAGCTGTTAATTTCTTGTGTTTTAGTTTATTTTGGTCAGTGAGAACCACTTCTTTACCATACAATATCTTTGTTTGTTGTCTCTCTAGGTCTTTACCATACAATATCTTTTACATCAATTGAGCCCTAATCAAACTCATGTTGTCTATACTTATCTAAATGCCTTTTCTAACAATTATTTCCGTTGGTTTCTTATTTGGTAAATGAAATTTAAAATTTATTTATTTTATTATGATGTGTGCACGCGCACACTAGAACCATCTTGTGCCCCCGCGGGGGGTGGGGGTTAATTTATTTTCCATTGTATATCATAGACATCGAGAAAACATGGTTTTTATGTGAGATTGTTAACCCTCTATTTGTTTTTGGTGTATCCATTGAATTGAATTCAATTTGATAATAAAGATTCTAGGTCATTTTCCAGAGGACTGCATTTTTTTTTTTTGACATTAGAGTTCCTTTCAAGCATCTCATGTTCATTGAGAATGACTTTTAACATTGTGCTTTCAAGAGACAATGAATGAGCAAAAAGATTAAGACAAAAAAAGAGTATTTGAAAACCTTTTAGCTTCATGCGGAGAATATAAACCACAGAAGCTGTTCCCTTGGGCATTTGAAGGGCCTCACATTGCATTTATCCATTTGGAAAAAAAAGCTTATCCAGGGTCTGGAAAGATGTTCTGGTAGTTTTTAAAAAGAAAATTGAATAAACTTTTGTATTGATTTGAAAAAAAATGTGTATGATTGGACTGTAACTAGCATGATAATGATTGGAGGAAGAATTATGAAAGTTTCTAATATGAATTTCAATACATAAAGGTTTACCATTGAGCCTCACTGTGGGATAGTTTATTGAATTACTAAGTACATTTAGGATGAGGCCCTTTTATCAAAATTTTATTCCGATAAAAAATAATTGTAACTGAGGAGATTAGAGTAAGGAGTTAAATTTGGAGTAGGAATGTTTCAGGTGTAAGATTTTATAACATGTTTCAAGGGGGTTGTAGTTTGAGGTGTTGATAATAGACTTGCTAACTGCCCCCAAATAGTTGGGATAAAGGCTTTGTGTTAAGTTGTGTTATAGACATGTTGAACGTTTAAACTTTTAGTTCTTACAATGTCTTGTAACCATGAAGAAATTGCTCCAAATGAAATGATTGATAAATGTTGAAATCGATCCCTGTGATATGAGTGTGAAGATTGGAGATCTTGGATCTGGAAAGTGATTAAGAATGCAAGATAGGTCTATCTTGTTTGTATATGTGTGTGTGTGTGTGCACGTGTAGATATATACATTGAGGGTACTAAGACCCACAAAGATACATGAAAGGGTTATAACTATTGTGGGATTAGAGGACTGTTACCAAAGGCTCTGATATATCAAAGTTTGCATGGGTAATTAGACCTAAAGGGAGATGAATAGGTTTTATGGACACTAATTTGCAACTAAATTTTTATTCTTATTTAAAATTTTGTTAATTAGTTGATTACGCATCTCAATTGCAACACATGAAACAGTAAATAAAATTATAAAAATACAGTGGAGACATAAGATTTTTACATGAAGAACCATAGAAAGGGAAAATCCACTTGATCTTGTCCAGCCATCAACAGTCCACTATGATAAAGAAGTTTTACAACCTTTACGAGATTCCCACGCAATAATTTCCTAGTTATCTCTTCACACAGATTTATGCCATTCTCCACTCTTCAGGCAACTGCATAGATCCGCTCCTCACATGATCCTCTTCTCCATGGTTGTTCAATCCTTCATCTTGAAATCACAAACTTGGCTGAATTTCTCTTGTATGGTTGTCTTTGATGTGCTCCTTTCTTTTAATCTCTCAATCCCATATGTTGTATGTTAAACCCTAAATTGATTTTCAAAGCTCTCTCTAAAAATATATTATCTTTCACTAAATTGTAGAAACTCAAAAGATGACCCTAGACTGATGGCAATCCCATATAGTCAAGATAGGAGTCCCATATAGAACAGGAATCTAATTCCCTTCAAAAATCTGTTTTGAGAGAATTTTCAGAAATCTGTTTCTGTACAGGCCGATTGATTAAGCCTTCAATTGAGTGACACTGGCTATGCTTTGATCATCATGCTTTGAATCGAGAGTTTTAAGTTTCGATCAATCAAGTATTCAATTGAGGTACTCCGGATTTCAATAATATTTTGGGAAATGTCAATCAAGTAAGACATCGATAAGCTACACTATTTATGCGAAGATCCCCAATTCAAAAACCTCATTTTAATCCTTTGGAAAAACCTTAGGATCAAAACCCTAATTCGGAAAACAAGATAAAATGTAATTTTATGTCTTTTAAAGATTAAATCCAGGTCAAAAATGTTTTTCAGGTCTTCTACCTGTAAACTAGATATGTGATCGAGTGTTAGATTTTTGGCGTGTTCTTTTTTGATCTTCCTACCCATCATCTTCTTGTGATTGTAGATAAACAACTCATGACTTTGACACACATCAGTACCAAACTTCTGAGTAGAAATTTGCCAACACATAACGATTATCATTATTATTACTATTATAATTGGGGTAAGTTGCATTGACGTCCTCTTAATAAGCAAAATTGTAGACACCACCCCCTGTATATTCAAAAGTACATAGGCCTTCCCTGTCAAACCTTGTCATTGGACGGCATTAACGGGAATTGTAGTTTTACTAATTTGCCCTCGCATTTGAAATAGTTTTGAACTTTTTAGTTGTCTTTACACACATTTCAAGGACGCCGACAAATTAAACAAATAATTTTCTGATATTAGCACTTTTTGACTTTGATTGTTAACAGAAGGGGGAAAATGTTGCTAAATCAAAACCTCAAGGATAGTAAGTGTAATTTTTTAATATAGAGGTCTGTAATTTGCCCTTACTATTATTAACGTGTTAAAATTCAAAACAATAAAACTTGGAGTCGGTGAAAAGTTGGAAAAAAATCACATATAGTTTGCATTTTTCCAAATAACTTTCCCTCAAAATTTTAGTTATCCATCAAGTATTAGATAACTCCCCCTTTGCAGTCATGTACACAGAAAATGTGAAACTTGGCACTTCTTTTGGAACAATTTTATACAGTTGACATGTATTCCCTAATATGAATCAATCTTGGTTCCAATCTAGTTCTGAAGGGAAGCTTGTGAAATTTGTTTCATGTCGATTATATAGGAAAAATAACTTATCATTTTCATTCATGTATTGTTTGCACCTGACCAATTTCTACGAGTAAAGCCTTCCATGAATGAAAATTCTTCTTGTGTTGATCATATGTAGCTAAAATATTATTCTCATATTTTATCGCTCATGCATTTTTCTTAGTATTCTAAGCAACAGAACTGTGCCAAAATTCTAAGGCGATGTAAATTCTATGCCAGAAAGACCCAATAGTGGTATGTATCTTTTCTGAAAACAAATATTTCAGATTCTGAAAACAAAAAGGCCAGCCAGTACTGTAACTTAAAGAATGCTTAATGGCTGGCCCTTCTTGTTTTCAATACATAGATGCTATGTAACCAGGTCACAGGGCAACAATGGCATTTTTGATCAGTAATAATTTTGTTCAGAGTTATTTATTTATTTTTGCACATAAATTTTTGTGTATATATTGTGTCCATGTTGGTATAACGTAATAACTCTTTATTTGTATATAATTTAGGAAGACGTTAAGGTCAAAAAGAAGTAAACACATAATGAGTAAACACAATGTTTAGTACCTAGTTTTCGTATTTTCCCAAAGCTTGATGAACTTTTATAACATTCATGGACTGGAAAATGAGTATTTATTCCTTCGAGGATTCAGAACTGAAGTGGCTCATTGTTGTTATTATCTGATTACTAAAATGTGATGATAATCTTAGCAGCATCTGATTCTTCCCAAGCTCAACTTGGTTCTATTATCTATCCAAAAAAAAATGAAAAAAAGAAAAAAAAGTTCCACTTGGTGCTATTGAAGTGTGAAGTTTCAAACAAGGGGCAGGGATTGAGCTTCTTGTTGATCTGCTGTCTGGATTCTCTCTGATGAGTATGGTGATGAGATGACAATTTTTTTGTCGTTTGCTTTCTTGGCTGTAGTCAGTGCAAACTTTGGCAATGATAGTTTGTGGTTTCATGCTACGTGAACATTCTGATTCAAAACTCTCATCTTGTCCAGTCACTAGTTACAGCTCAGCAATCCATTTTTGGCTGAAACTCCTCTCTGGTCTAAAAAGGAGCAGGTTACTTTAGTAAATAACTGTTTCGCTTGATAACATGCAGGCCGCACCTTTCACACTAGTGTGGTGCGTGGTAACACAACAACCGGAACTGAATTGGTTGCTAATATACAAGCATTTAGATTCAAACAATGAATTAGTCATGCTGATAGAAACTTTGTGATAGCTTATGACTGACGATTGACTGCTTCTGATCAAGCATTTGAGCTCAATTTTGTCTCTCCTAAAGCAACTTCATCTTGCAGGGTTCACTCTATTTCTCGGATTCTTAATTGATCGGATGCACCATTATCTTCAAAAATTGATTTGGTTAAGAGGTAATGTGGCCGCCTCGAGACAGGAAGTTGAAAAGCTTGAGAAAGAAAAGCAGCAGCTAAAGGAAAAGGAGGAGAAAGCTGCCAAGGAAATAAAGCTGCTGCAGAAAGAAATCTCTAATTTGACAGAGAATTTGAAGAAGCTTAAGTTGGAGTCTGAAGAGAAGGACAAACGTGTTGAAACTGCCGAAGTTCATGTTGCTTCCCTCCAGAAACAATCTGCAGATCTGCTTCTAGAATACGACCGCCTGTTAGAAGACAACCAAAATCTTCAGAACCAAGCTCTAGGATATAGATGAAATTTTCAGAAATCTATCATCTCCAGTTTTGGAATCAGTTTTGGTCACAGGTGACGTTGATTAAACCTCTCCTTGCATGGAAATCGGCCTCCACTCTTACAGAATGGGGGAGGAGCTGCTGCTCGATGTTGTTTAAAATTTTGTAATTTCTCTTGAATTTAGAAATTTATCAGCTTAATCGCGATGTTGTTTCTTGTACCTGAATTCCCATCCCTTCTCGGTGTTTCTAACTGACAATAGTAATTTGATTTTGTGAATGTAACCGAAACAGACAATGTTTTATTGGGAACATTTAGATATGTTTGCCATGAAGACAATGTTCATGCTTGGCTAATCCGAAAAGTTTTGTATCTTGGCTAATTAGTTATTTCTCACGTCACGAGGTCAAAAACTTGTAATCCGAAACTGGTATCAACTTTGCTTTGAACTTCCGAAAAGCTACTATAGAGTGAATGTCCAGAAATTTTTATGTCGCAGGTAACTCTAAAAAAATGGGGCTACCTATATAAGAATGCTCCATAGTTTTCTTGATAATAGTAGGTTTCTGAAAGGAATTTCTTCTCATTGTGCGCATTTTAATCAATAATTCTTCTATTGTTCCATAAATAAAAAGAGAGAAAAAAAGAAAAAGAAAAGAGAAATCGGAAATCTCATACTGTGGATGATTGATTATCTGCAAGAACTATTAACAAAATGGAGAAAACGACTTTGAAGATGCAGTAAATCTTCATTCACTCTACGGATGGCTGTGGCGCAAACTGCAGTAAACCTCCAAGCTCATCTGTTGCTATGAAAACAATCTGTAACAGAAGTACTGTTACAGTAGTAGCTTCAGACATGAGCAGTTGCCTTTCCTGGTTTATTTTCCCCTGAAACAATCACAACCCAAGGGGGAAAAGGTTCTTCTATTTCGCAGAGAGAAGAAAGAAAAAGAATAACAATAAAAAATAAATAAAAAGTTACTGGGAAAGGACCATACAAAGTCAAGATTGTCTCCCACTCAAGGTCAAGATTCACATCAAGGAACAAAGGAAGACAATGAAAGATTAAAGGAATGCTTCAGAGTGAACTCCAGCAACACCCATAACCTCCCACCAAATTTGTTTAGCAACATCCTCTACTGTTCTTGAGAGTTGAGACCCCTTGATGATATCTTCGGTACGTCTTATTCCACATATGCTGCGGAGTAGTAGAGGAAAGCCTTGTATAAATTCCGTGTCTTAGAAAGGTCGAAGGAAACTGAGCAAGCATGTCGAAAAGGTTATAATCCTGCATATTCCAGCCCAACATGTCATTAAACCAAAGCCAAACGGATCTCTTTTTAAATTATCAAATGGGGTGGGTTAATTATTATCTTTAATTTGGTAATTAAATTAGGATATGTCCATTTATTATTAATCTATATCAACGGTCAGATGATGTACATCCTTATTTTTTAATAGGGGAATTGATGATATGTTCAACTTAAAATCTAACACAATCCAAGCTCTCCAACTAGGTGTAGGACTTGGGTGAGCCTAACTCGAGTCATGCCCGAAAATTTACTATAGTACTTGAGACCATGGATTGGGACTGAGTTTAAACTTTAGGGTCCGAATTTACTGTGTATGATATTTAAACAAATATTTTTACTAACACCAACAACTCGATGAACCAAGAAAAAATAAATTTTATATTATTATGGTTATACATTGTGTTTGTAAAGTAAAAATTAGTGTCATAGCTATTAATCCAACTTTGACACATTGCTTTATAAATCTAAAATAAATAATAATGATTTAAAGACCAAATCTAAGCATACGTCAAATTATGTGAGGGTAGTGGTGCCCTAAATCACTATTAAAAAATAAATTATAAATATGCGATGTGATATCCATTAAATACTTGGACCCATTTCTCAACCCGAGGGGTAACTGACAGGTCGGGTTTAATAATCCTGGTTCGGCACTCGGCATAGGGCCTTCAAATTTTACATTGCAAAAACGACCCGCTTCACAACTTTTGGATAAAATACATTCACACTCCTTAAGGTTTGACAAAATGACTGGATAAAGACACTCCTGTAGTTTCAAAAATGGACAAAAACACCCCTTTACATGAAAAATAGACCAAATTACCCTTTGACCGTTTAATAGACTTTTTTAACTTTACAATTTAATAAATTAGACCAATCTACCCTTATGAATAATTTATGCATAAAAAAATAAATAAAAAAATAAATTGATCCAATTTATTAAATTATAAAGTTAAAAAAGTCTCATAAACGGTCAAAAGATAATTTGATTAATGTTTCATGTAAAAGGGGCGTTTTTGTTTATTTAATCTCATTTTTTTTTTTTTAACTTGGTAGTCATTTCCGTTTTCTTTCTCAATTCTGTCGTCGGAAAGTTTTCACGGGATTTCAGTTCTGCGCCCTCTCTCTCTAGAAGTCGATGCTTCAAATTCCTCTTATACTCTACTACATGGATATATGTAATTGGGTTTAAAGTTAGGGTTTCCAAATCTGTAAGCAATTTCATTTCTTCGCTTCCTCTCTCTAGAAGTCGATACTTCAAATTCCTCTATACTTCATAAATATAATAAGCAATTAGGTTCAGAATTAGAGTTAGGGTTAGGGTCTGCAACTGTGTAGGAGCTTCTGAACGTTTCCGTTCTGTAATTAGAATACGATGTATGCTGATCGTGTGGAAGCTGGAACAGAGAGGTCCCTAAAGGAGCGCCTTAATGGCAACACCGTACACGCTTCAGGTCGCCGAAGACAAATTACTGGAAAGAGGTTCTCTCTCTCTCTCTCTCTATATATATATATATATATATATAAATATATATACATGAATACTTCCTCTGTTTAAAATTCTATTACTTTTCATTTTATTTTATTATTATTTAATTTTGCTCCGTTTCTTTTGTCTACCCATAGGTGAACTTGGTTCTAGTGTTTTTTTTTTTTGGGGGTGTTTTGGTAGGTGCTGTTCGGTGATTTATGAGAATAAATTGCTTGCTTCATATTGTAGGTTGAACTCTGTTGTGTTTGAATTTGGATTCAGAGTTCTTTTAATCAGATTTTTTCAGTGAATTTAGATGGATAAAATGATGGGTTTTAGTTATATTAGTTGAAAAAACAGTGAAGGATGTAGCTGTATTTCATGGTAGATGAATGAAATGATGGGTTTTTGTTATATTTGTTGAGAAGACAGTGAAGGATGTAGTTGCATTTGTAGATTAATGAAATGATGCGTTTTAGTTATATTAGTTGGGAATATAGTGAAGGATGTAGTTGCATTCATAGCGGACTTGGAAAGGATGCAGTAGAGCATGCATGGGAACATATGACTGCCTGTCTTTTGCAATTTGAACTTTATTTATATGATTTGGGCAAAAAGATTATATCCAAATGCTAATTCAAGGAGTTTTTTTAAAATTTTTTAATTTGTATGTAATCAAATGAACCGATCATGATTTTTTATTTTTTATATTTTTAAATATATATAGTCCATTTCGAATTACAGGCTATGTGGTCTGATGTATTACTCAAATGTGATAATCTTGACTGTATAACAGTTTATTTTCAGTACTTTCTTTCCCTCCACTTTTTCTTCTTTGTCTTTCTTATCTTCTTCATGTCTTTCTTTTTCATTATTATAAATGCACATCCACACTCACACGTGCTTACATGCTCTATTCGTTTTACTCAGGCATTGGACAACTAAAAAAAGAGAGAGAGAGGTGTTGAATAATTTTAAAATGAGAGTGATTTTGACTGATTTTTCAATCATTTACAACCTATTATAATTTTGTTGACCTTTGTAAACAGATGAAAAACTCCTCAATTCAACAGGAAAAAAAAAAAAAAAAATGATATCCAAAATGCACACCCTTATCCATGCCCTCTTCAAAACTTGGGAATTAATGTTGCACAATGCTGCTTGATCAGACGACTATTAACTCAAGCTTTTGCTTCTGACATGCCAACCTGATTTAGGATGGCTCGTATATGAAAAAATAGGGTCGTTTAAATCAAGAAGAGATGAGTTTGAAGGAAAGGATATAGGGTTTAAGGGATAAAGAGCTTGCAACCACCAGACATCTAGCGTAATGTTCATCTCTTGCCACCCGATATGGAGGAGATGCAGGATTCAAGTACCAATTAGGATACCAGTGTGCATCATGCACTTGTTGGAAAAATGAGTAAAGAGCTCAATTTTAAGGAAAGTTGTCTTAGTTTTCATGGAACTGTAAAGTTGATAAAGGTGGGGGCTCAGGCTAGAGACTTTTGGAGGGTGACCCCTCTTTGCGTTAGGTGGAGTCTTTGGAAAGAGCGGAACAGAAGATCTTTTGATGGGAAGGAGTCCTCTATTGGAGAGCTGAAATTTCTATTATTTGTACCCTTTTTTGTTGGGGTTGGGGGAGGGATTATTCTTCTTTAGAGGACATTGTGGACTTTTTGGGTTCTTTGAGTTCATAGATTCTTTTTGTGTATATCTCGGGATGCGTTCCCCTTTTGAACGCTTTCTAATACATTTTACTTATAAAAAAAAAAAGAGATAAAGGTGATGGATAAGTACCAATGAGTTGAAACTGGTGATGTAGACATGAGGAGGGAGATGTTGAGTTGGATAGGCAGATTCATTTAGGGATTTTGGCTGCTCACAAATGAATGAAGGCCTGACAAAAAGGATTAATACTATTGGTCAAGTGTTTGAACGGGGCACAATGATATGATTGATAGTCAGCAATGTGTGGTTAATCATGTGTCACTTTATGGAGTTTCATTTTTTTGTCTTGCCTCGATCTTTGTTAAATGGGTTAGCTAACCCAAATAGCAATAGGTTTGACTCTTAATAGGTGATTAGGAGTATGATTTTGCTATGTGTGGGTGATAACAAGCTAAGAAGCATGGACAAGAACATGGGACATGGACATATACAACACCTGACACGTCAAATTCAAAAAAAGTAAGAAATATAAATTTTCATTTATAAATCTATTAAGACAATAATTAAATTATAATTAATTTATAATATCTACACTAAAGTTACATAAGTTAAAAGATGAAACTATTCAAATATAAAAAAAGAATATATTATATTACTCTCTTATCTTGTCATTATAGTTATATTTATATTGTGACGTGTTTAATGTCAATTTTTTCAAGAAAAAGAGGTTGGACACAATGTGTGTTCATAAGGTTGTTTTCAGGGTTGTTATGTTTTTTTTTTTTTATATAAGACGAATAATACAGGATGTGTTGGTCAAGTATTCGAAATGTATTGACCAAGTGTCGGAGAGGTGTCTGCCAAGTGTCTGAAATAATAAAAATTAATTTTAAATTATGGACACAGTCAAGTGTCAGGACTCATGTCCAAGAGTGTTAATGAAGTGTCGGTATCTGACATGGACACGGCGTGGGGCTGAGGGAGGGGAACCCCCAATTTTTTTTCAAAACTCTATTAATGGTACCTATTTATGGTTATTAATTGTGATTTTGTTTAGAAAAATTAAAGCTGGCTCCTCCAATTTTTTTTTAAAATTCCTATTTATGGTACCTATCTATGGTTATTAAAGGTGGGTTTCAAACGAAATTACTCGTGACCCATTCATATTCCAACAAATCATTTTGGTCTTGCTTTTAAAAAATCAGTAATTAAAGTGTCAGTTATTATTATAATCCTTGCTGCAACCTATAACTACTCTATTTATACACACACATATATATTTGTTATGAATTAAAGAGTGAAGAAAAAGATCATTGACACTTGATAGTCTCATTTATCGGACAACTGTTGTTCTCTCCATTTTTTCTTCTTATATTATTTATATACAAGCTCTTAAAGTATATTTTAAAAGAAAGAAAAATGTTACAATTATTTTGTTTGTATTTTTAAAATATAATTTTATATTACTAGTTACCCCCTCCCTCTCTTCTCTCTCTCTCCCAACCACCCAAAATGAATTTTGTGGTTCCACCCCTAGACACGGCATCTTCGTAGAAGTGTTTGTACTTCTTAGATAACAAATAAATATTCATAGTGAACCTAGAGTTCTCATGTCATGAAGCATGAAAATATAAGTACATTCTGGTAATACCGTAATGAGGGTTTTGGATGTTGGAAGGATGTGATTGGTTGTTGATTGTATCCTTGGCAAATTTTGGTTTCACAATTGGTCCTCTTATTAGTATAACGTGCCAACGACTGCTGGTTTATTGCATTTTCCGACTTTGATAAAAATCAATACTTGTGGATAAAATCATAGTAGCATATTTTTTATGAGCAAGTCTCAGAGGCCCCAGAAGCATTAGACCCTTCATTTATTTTCTTGCATATGCAGCAATATCAAGCATCAGCTGTGTCTAATTAGAATCTGCTTCATGAAAAGCTAAGCAATTAAAGAATGTAACTTTTGATTTTTGACACAGCATCCCTCAACTTTTGTGTTAAAATCTTCATGAGCTTCTTGTTAATTAAGGTTGCTTGGAGGTCTTACTCTTCTAGAATACTTGATCAGTTGTCATCAACCTAACTTTGAGACTAATGGATTCTATATGCGGCTACTCACCAGCATCACAACACCACGTGATTTATTAAACCATGGTGAAATAATCTACCACCTGTTACTTTGTTTACCATAAGATTCTCAAGGAGACGATGGATTCTATATGCGGCTACTCACCAGCATCACAACACCACGTGATCTATTAAACCATGGTGAAATAATCTACCACCTGTTACTTTGTTTACCATAAGATTCTCAAGGAGACGATCCTTTCCCCACCTCTAGAGCATCGACACGCCCAAGAGGGGTGCTGCAACAGTGTTGGACACGTGTCCAACACTGAAACGCGTCTCCAAGCCTCGGACACGTGTGTGACACTCTATATAAGTGTCCTCTTTTTTTTTTTTTTTTCATTGGTCGAACACGCTGGAGGACATGCGGGAAGACACAGCCTTTCGATTTTTTTTTGAGAAAAAGAGAGGGTGAAGAGATATGTGTGTGTGTGTGTGTGTGTGTGTGTGTGTGTATTCATTTGAAGGGAAATCTATGAAGTGAGATAAGAGATCTAAATATGTGAAGAAAGGAAAGAGATGGGAGAAAGCAGTTGGAAAAAAGAGTGAACGAGAGCCATGAATGACAGAGTGGGGGAGAGAGAGGTTAAGAGATGGAGGAGAATAGGAGATGAGAAAGGCTTTCGGCTAGAGGAGAGAGAACCTGAGAGTGGTGAATGAATATGGGGAAGAGAGAGAGAGAGAGAGAGAGGAGATAAGATTGCAATCTTATCTTCTTTTTGGAAATATTTGGTTGCAAAGATAACAATTCTACTATTGGGTACAAACATATATAGTTTTTGTTTGTATTTTAATGAAATTTGGGTTGTTTGGTGGACTTTATATAAATGGGTTTGTTTATGAATACAAATTAGAAATTGAGTAAAAATTAAAAATATATATATAATAAAAAGTATATTATTATTTCATTTATGTATCCTTGCTGTGTTCGTGTTCTATTTTTTTAAAATTTGCCATATAGTTGTGTTCGTGTTGTATTGTACCCACGTCTTGTGTTCGTGTCCGTGCTTCTTAGATCACCACCATTGTAACAACCCACCCTACCACATGGTATGATATTGTCTACCTGGGCCTGAGCTTGCACAATTTTGCTCTTGGGTTTGACCCTAAAAGGCCTCATACTATTTGGAGATAACACTTGCGCACACAAATGCTTTACCTTCACCATGCCCAAGCATTGTGGGATTGTGCAACCTGTAACTCACCCAGT